AAGGGGTTTACTGCCAATGACATCCTGGGCATTACGGTTGGGATGAAACGGGGAAAAAATGTCCCCATTGTTGACAACCCCTTAAATGTAATGAAAAATGGGACAGTGGCAAAGTTGATTGAGTGACTAATGAACGTATTTGAAAAACCCCCTGGGCAGTGATTTTTTTATAACAAAAAAATGCAATTTTGGGGGACAAAAAGTGGGAAAGAAAATTTTGGGTTTTTTTTGATTTTGTTCGTAAAAGTTACAAGTGGTACTGAAACTTTTCTTCCCAAACCATGGGGCATTTCAATGCTCAAAGCATATAATATGTACCAAAAGAAGACTGGAACAGACCCCGTATGGTGAATTTTTTTTGTCTGTTGTCAGAAAAACTCATAAGAAGTACTTGGTAACAACACCTGCTGTACAACAAGGTTCCGAACTCCCCAAAGGGTTTTACCCAAAAGGGTTTGGGGGGGGGGAAGGGAAAGGGGATCATTTCATAATTTCAGCTTCCTTTAAATCAGAAGAAATTTTTCCCCAGAAGAGAGGGATTTGTCTGTGCCAAAACAAAAAGCGGCAAACAAAGACGGAAAGGGGCCTTGGATTATGTGTGGTAAAAGTAAGGTCCCCCTGGCATGGGGGGCCTTGTTTCAAGGAGTTCCCCAAGCTTCATAGTTCTAAAAACATGGTCCGTGATTGTAAATATGTAAATATATGATAGAACATTAGTTTTTTACCCAAAATTTGTGCATGTTAAATTTTTAAAAAAACAAACCCGTGGTAAACAATAATATGATAAAAACTTTAGTGGGTTATTGTGTTTAATCAGGGGAGTTTATATATATATATTAAATTTCAGTATTGCCTCCGGGCCCCCCTGTTAGTAGGGGAAAAAGAAAAAATTGGAATAGAAAAGAAAAAACTACAAAAACTGCTAAATAAAGTAATGCGCGTATGTGGAAATCATCGATGTTGCCGCCACCAGGTCATTTTGGACAAACTTCTCGGCACTGTATCTCGGTAAGTACTGATCAGAATTTTTTTTGTCTTATTACCTTCACAAAAATTTGCTTTTTAAATTTCTGTAAGTTTTTTTTTTTTTTTTTTTTTTTTTCAAAATTTCTTGGACACTGGAGCATCACTTCAAATTTTGGCCTTGGACCCTAAAGGGGTTAAGTGTAACATGCCAAAGCCCCTTGTATGCAGAGCATTATGGGCAGGCTTAAAATTAACTTAACATTAACTAAGCAGTGCTATATTCAGTGGTAAACATTTTGTAAACAAATAACAATTAAGCACAAATGAGTATTACAAAGACAGGTCATATGGTCATTTACTGTGTTGCTGAGCATTCAGTAGAATGGAGTATTTTGTTGGGTAATGTAATTAAAAATAACAAAGTTTGATTTGGTCACAGGTTAAACATTTATGAGATACAATTATTCAGTATTTATTTAGTTGAGGGTAAGTAAGTGATTTTTAAGAAGAGACTTGAATTTATAAACAGACAGTGCTTCTTTTATATTCACAGGTAATGAATTCCAGAATTTTGGGCCTTTTATGTGCATTGGGTTTTTGCATAGTGTGAGATGGACATGAGGAACATCAGAGTGATCTGTGCCTTGTGTTATGGTCATGTGTTCTGTTTAGGTTGGTAAGAAGACTTTTGGGGGGAGGGTTTAATCCGAGTTAAGTGTTCTATGTATGTAGTAGGTACAATAACAAATATGGATGTTTTGTATGGTGAGTAGGTTTAGAGTTTTGAATATTGGTGGAGTGTGCTGCCTGTAGTGGGAATTTGTTTTCATTCTGACTGCAGCCTTTTGCTGGGTAATTAATGGTCTGAGATGGTTAATTGTTGTTGAGCCCCATGCACAAATTCCATAGGTGAGATAGGGGTAAATAAGTGAGTGATATAGGGCCGGGAGGGTTGACTGTGGAACAGTACTGTATCTTTGATAGTATGCCTACGGTCTTGGAAATTTTCTTGGAAATTTGTTGTACATGTGTTTGAAATTTGAGTCTATTATAAAGGTGGACCCCTAAGAATTTTCCCTCTGTGAGCTTTGTGATAGGTGATCCGTTTATCATTATGTTAAGAGGGACATCTGTAGCTCTGTTACCAAACTGAATGAAGTAGGTTTTGTCAATGTTAAGAGTAAGTTTGTTAGTCATCATCATTTCTGTAATTTGGGTATTCACAGTATTGGTTTCAGGGACTGGGCTCGGTGGAGAAACGTATGTAGTGTCATCTGCAAATAGTGTGGGTTTGAGTAGCTGCGATGCATTTGGTAGGTCATTTATGTAAACGAGAAAGAGAAGAGGACCAAGGACACTTCCCTGTGGGACCCCCAAACCCTGTAATTGGCTGTGGGGAAGAGTTTGCCCCAAATTGTGTACACATATTGGGTTATGTTGCTGAGGTATGACTTTAGGTAGTTGAGGGAGTGCCCTCTTATACCATAGTGTGACAATTTTATGTGGAGCAAATCATGGTCAACTGTATCAAAAGCTTTACATAAATCAATGAAGATCCCCAGTGGGACTTCTTTTATCTCTAGTGCAGTGTATATTTGTTCTAGCATGTGTATAATAGCATCATTCGTATTTTTTATTTGGTCGAACTCAAACTGACAGGGGTTGAGTATGTTGTGGGAGATGAGGTAGAATAGAAATTTGCTTATGAATTAATTTTTCGAAGATTTTAGAGAGAGAGTGTAAGTTGGATATTGGCCTATAGTTGTTCAAGTCTGTTTGGTCTCCTCCATTATGGATTGGGGTGACCCTCGCTATTTTGAGAACTGTAGGGAAGGTAGAGGATTCAATGGATTTTGTTAAAGAGTGTTTTCAGTGATTGGTGACAGCACTTGCAATGCTTTTTTGTATATAATGGGTGGTAAGGTATTTAAATCTCCTGTCTTGTTTTTTAGTGTGTTGATAATTAGGGAGACTTCTGTTGGGTTAGTCGGAGCTAGGAAAAGGGTGTTCAGGTAGTTGCCAGTGAGGTAGTCATTGGGTGGGGTATTTGAGCTTGGGATTTTATTGGCAAGGTTTTTTCCAATGGTGGAGAAGAAATCATTGAGTCTGCTGTTTCAGTTGGTGGGAGTTGGGGTTCATCTGATTTTGTTAGTTCAGTTGTGCTATTTCGTGATATCTTTTTTGTTCCTAGAATTTCTGATAGGGTTTTCCAGGTCTTTTTTATATCACCTTTTAAGTTGAATAATCTGTTCTCATAATACAGCTTTTTAGCCCTTCTTATCAGGCTGGTTAGGATTGACGAGCAATGTTTTGTTTGGTCTCTGGTTAAGTGACCCTGTGTGATCCTAGGTAATTTACACTATGTATGATAACTTTACTTATGTGTACCTGTGAGAGAGAGAGAGAGACAGATACAGATAGAGAGAGATCCAAATTCAGTCAGTCATGCAGCCAACCACCCACCCACCCCCACCCACCCACCCAGCCAGCCGAATATGTATTACACATGTTCCAGAGTTGTTTTCTTTACTTAGGGGATTGGTTATAGGTGTTCTGGCAGGATGACACTACCAGTGGTATTCTCCCATTCCACTGTGTCAACAGTACTTAAAGATAACAGTAATATATGATATTGTGTGCGATGTAAAATTTACAATACAGTTCACTACCATGTATACATAATATACAGTACATAAATGATTAAAATATATCAATAGAAGTAAATTATGGTAAAAAGAATGACATAATGATTGTACATTACATTACAATACTATGTAGGTAGTTTATATAGGAAAAGTTTGACATTATGCCCTACCCAGTATGTCAGCAATTTTCAAAGGTTCGACTTACGTTCATTTTGACTTATGACCAGTTGGTCGGAACCAAGCTCGGTTGTAAGTTGGATGGTACCTGTATTTAGAGACACACAACAGTCTCTCCCTTACTATGCTTAGATACGTATGTCCGTAATGCCCTTGCCAATAGCCATTCAGTTATTGCCATCTTTATTAATCTTGAGAAGGCATATGACACAACTAGGAGGTATAATATTTTGGCCCAGGCCCACTCCTTAGGCCTCCAAGGGAGTCTACCATTTTTCCTTAAGAACTTCTTAACTGAAAGACATTTCTGTGTTCTGATTAATAATGTGCTTTTCCTGGACTTTGTCAAAGCTGAAGGTGTCCCCCAAGGGTGTGTTCTGAGCACAACACTTTTTCTCCTGGCATTAATGATCTGGCTTCTATTCTTCCATCCAATATTTGGTCATCGTTCTGTGTTGATGACTTCGCTATAGCTTGTGCAGGCGCTGACTGTCACCTCATTGCACTTTCTCTCCAGCATGCAGTCAACCGTGTTTCCAATTGGGCCACCACTTATGGGTTTAAATTTTCTAGTACTAAAACTCACAAAATTACTTTCACTAGATGTTCTGTCGTCTCCGATCATCCATTGCACCCATATGACACACATATCCCAGAACGTGATACAGTTAGGTTTCTAGGCCTTCTTTTTGACCGTAAGTTATCCTGGAAACCTTACATTACCTCTCTCAAGGCAACTTGTCATAGCTGGCTAAACCTCCTTAAAACTCTTGCTCATCTTTCATGGGGGCTGATTGTAGAACTCTCCTTCGACTACATTCAGCCATAATTTTATTGAAACTCGGTTATGGCAACCAGATATATTCAGCGGCCTCTCCTGCAACTCTCTCTAGCCTTAATCCAATCCATCACCAGGGATTATGTTTATGCCTCTGTGCTTTTCGCTCTTCACCGGTTGAGAGCCTCTGTAGTGTATATATATATTATTATTATTTTTTTATTCTTCTCTCTAACAAGAAGTGACTTTTCAATAATTGTATGTACTCAGTAAGTCTCTTATTGTATGCAAAAAAATTCTCACTCCAGTACAAAATTAGTGACTATGTACTACATTTATAGAATAATTTTTGTTGAAAAGAATACATTAATTAGTTTAACATTTGCATTGCCTTCAAATTAATTGCTACTCTCTTCCTGATCATTGCATAACAGTTGGATGCGTCTGGGAATGACAGTGGATTCTGTCGGAAAAATTCCTGTAAAGCACATTGTCCGAACTTTTGCCTCGGGCAAAACTGAAAAGATGGTGTTCTCGTGCCTAGAAGAAATGGGTTTGCCTTCTGGAAAGGTAAGACATGTCAAGTATCCACTGGTACTCTGCAGTTGTAGTTCACAGTTACCTTGTACTCTATAATAACATGGCAACATCATTTAATAATCCCAATTTTCTTATAACTATAGTGTGTGCAATAGAGATACTGTAGTTACTACTGTTACTATTCTGTCAGTATCTGCAAATGCCCATTGTGAAACTAATAAGTAATTTCCTTTTATATAATGTTTCCATGACCAAACTTCAATCTCTTCATATTATGAAAAACATAATTCAAGACAGCCTTGAATTATATGTATTTTATTTTGACACTTCTTCCAAAACAGGGTGACAGTATAGAAAAAGAGGCCTTCACTTTTGAAAAGTTCTACAAACTGTACCATACTATTTGCCCTAGGACTGATATCGATGAACTCTTTTCAAGCATGTGAGTTTTCTTTAGTTTTGTGTAATCCTTAATTATCATGTTAATAACTATTTTGGTCAGTCATTATTAGCTTGATTCTACTCAGAAAAATATAAACATGATTGCCCAGATTTTCAGTAGTTAATGATAGTAAGTTCTCTACTCTCTAGATTACTGTGTCCTTTTCTGGATTCCAAAACTGTAATCAGAATAAACTCAGTATGTTGGAATTTGGCAGTTTGGAGGGATATGTTGTGTATCTTTATACGTATATGCTTCTAAGCTGTTGTATTCTGAGCACCTCTGCAAAATCAGTGATAATGTGTGAGTGTGGTGAAAGTGTTGAATGATGATGAAAGTATTTTCTTTTTGGGGATTTTCTTTATTTTTTTGGGTCACCCTGCCTCGGTGGGAGACGACCGACTTGTTGAAAAAAAAAAAAAAAAAAATGTTGGAATTTTTTAGTTACAGGTGTAGTTAAAAATAATTTTTCATAGTTTATTTAAAAATTAAGTGCACTTTACATTTGAGTTAGTGAGTGCATGCTGCTCAATTATCAACATCTCTTCAGCAAGACTCAAAAAATGTGAGCATATTAAAAAATGTGACATATTTTTCAGGCATTGTTTATTAAAATATATAAAGCACATTACACACTTGACAAGTGTATACTGATAAATTGTCACTAGCTCATCAGCAATACTCAGAATACCCTTACTTGAAAATTTACTTAGTTTTTTTTCTGTAACCAAACATCCTTACATGTTGCTTCACTTTGGATTTCAAATTCAAAATTAGCATGTTGAAATGTGGTCTAAAACACTCATTTTTACCTCAGTATATAAATGATGTCTGGTATAATCAAAGATTATGAATTTTTTCTACATTTAATTATACAGTAATTAAGACACAAACATTATTCATTAGTTTTCTAAGAGTAATAACAATAGATTCTTAATCAGTATGTACACAAGTAACTGTGTTATTTAACTGCTTATTTTGTGACATCTATAAAAGAAAGTAGATCTCACTCATAAAAATATGGCAATAAATAACAACACAGTAGGTAATTTTATTACTGTAATTGATTTTGGAGGGGGAGGGGTGATGTTTAGATGATTGATTCAGATAAACAAGGTTTTCTGTACTTTTCATACAAGATCATCATGTGACTTTATTATGATACATTATGTAATACACATTTGTGTATATTCAAACACAAACTTTTATGTAAAATATACATTTTTATGAAAATCATTTGTACCTGAGCTCTGCATAATTGGGCTTTCTTGCTTAGGACTGAACTTAGTTTGGCCATCTGGAACAACATTGTTTGCCATAATTTTAGCCCTAGTTTTACACTTACTAAAGTTAATATGCCTTTCCCTGTGAAAAGGAAACATTGAGAGTAAGTGTTTTTATAACTGTGAGTTCATCCTCTTGCAGCACAAAGGGAGAGCACATCACTCTGGCTCAGCTAGTTACGTTCATGAATGAGAAACAGCGAGATCCGAGCCTCAATGAAATTTTATATCCGCTTTACGATGGAAAAAACGATGTATGGAGGATACTCACAGCTCATGCTCACCTCAAGGAAAAATGTTGAAAACAGTGGTGAATTTATTGAAATCATTGAGCTTAACTCAAAAGAACTTTCAATTACTTTCCTGTTGTTTTGTTGTAATATACACATGCCTCACAAAATAGTAGAGATTATACTTTAAAGGATGGATCTTGCATCTTTGTTGACCACTTATTTTTTGTATTTTTATTTATTTTATTTATGATTTTATGTCTTTGCAAAAACTGGACATTGAGATTTTATATTTCACAATAGTGGGTTGCAATGCCAAAGAGAGCTCTATTATGTCCTAGGCATTATGGGCCAACTTATTATTATTGGCTTTCTGACATTTAACACTAAGGATTTAACATAGTTTCCACAGTAGGACAGTAATTTTTTCATAGTTGTACAGTAGATTATTAATTATAAAATTAAGTAAATTTGGATAAGACAAAGGATAGATTCATTAGTCCTATATGCTTCTTGTGAAAAACAGTGGTTTTCAATTATATTCCTGGAACATATGGATTAATTAAGCTCGAAGTGATGGTTGTAGTTATGGATTGTGGGAGTACATAGGTGATTAGTGTGTACTGAGTATTTAGGTTTAGTCTAGTGGGAATGTAAGGGCTTTGAGAAGTCTTAACTGTTTTCAGACTGGGTTACTTTAATATCTTCTGGGTAATGAATTCCATATTTTTGGGCCCTTTTATGTGCATAGATTTTTTAAACAGTGTGATGAGACGAGGTATATCAAAAAAGAGATCTGTGTCTTTTGTTGTGGTCATGTGTCCTGTTTAAGTTGGCGAGGAGAAGTTTGAGTGGAGGGTTTGTTTGCGTGTATTGTTCTGTGTATGTAGTAGGCACATGTATAAGTATGGATGTTCTTTTATGGTGAGCAGATTGGTGGAGTGTGCGGGCGGGTGTGGGAATTTGTCTCTCTAATATGACAAAACCACATCAACATCCCCTCGTCAGCCTATGACTAATACTTTTATTAACCTCCACACCTCCTATTTTCCACACTCCGAATTTCTGAAGAATATGTACACCACACATTGCCCTTAGGACAGGAACATTTTCCACTGCCTCTCGCTGCTGCATTCACAAACCCAAGCTTCACACCCATATATGTGGGAGTTGTCACAGCTGCTTCTTTGCTGAGGACACTGTGCTCTTGGGAGATCTGAAGAGAAGTGGCAGAGATTGGTGGATGAATTTGGTAGGTGTGCAAAAGAAGAAAATTAACGGTGAATACAGGAAAGAGTAAGGTTATGTGGATAACAAAAAGATTAGGTGGTGAAAGATTGATTATCTGATTGGAGGGAAGAGTATGGAGGGAGGTGAATGTATTCAGATATTTGGGAGTGGACGTGTCAGCGATGGGTTATGAAAAGATGAGGTGATTATAGAATTGATGAGGGAAAAAGGTGAGTGGTGCACTTAGGGTGTCTGTGGAGACAAAAGAACTTGTCCTTTTCGGAGGCAAAGAGGGGATGTATGAGAGTATTAGTTTTACAACGCTCTTATATGGGCTGTGTAAGCATGGGTGATGAATGTTGCAGCGAGGGAAGGCTGGAGGCAGTGGAGATGTATGTCTGAGGGCAATGTGTGGTGTGATAGAATGCAGAGAATCCTAGGTTTGAGTGTAGTTAGGAGGAGGTGCGGAATTACCTAAACTGTTGTCCAGAGGGCTGAGAAGGGTTGTTGAGGTGGTTTCTGGACATGTTGAGAGAATGGAGCGAAACTGATTGACTTCAAGAGTGTTGCCAGTCTGTAGTGAAGGGAGGCGGTGTAGGGGTCGGGCTAGGAAAAGGTTGGAGGAGAGGGGTAATGGAGGTTTTGTGTGCGAGGGGAGTGGACTTCCAGCAGGCATGCGGGAGGTGTTTGATAGGAGTGAATGGAGACAAATGGTTTTTAATACTTGACGTGCTGTTGGAGTGTGAGCAAAGTAACATTTATGAAGGGGTTCAGGGAAACCGGCAGGCCGGACTTGAGTCCTGGAGATGGGAAGTACAGTGCCTGCACTCTGAAGGAGGGATGTTAATGTTGCAGTTTAAAAACTGTAGTGTAAAGCACCCTTCTGGCAAGACATGATGGAGTGAATGATGGTGGAAGTTTTTCTTTTTCGGGCCACCCTGCCTTGGTGGGAATCGGCCAGTGTGATAATAAAAAATAATAATAGTACCAAACCTGCACACGAAAATCAGTCCGTATGAAAGCAAAAGACTCGGCAGGAGATGCAACATTCCCCTGATGAAAAGCAGGGGCACCACGAGTACACTTTGAGACCAAAACCACAATAAGTGTCCCCCGGGGACCAACACTGTTCAGTGCCTCCCAGCATAAATAAGGGGGATTACCAATAGACCCCTGGCTGTCTTCAAGAAGGCACTGGACAGGCATCTATAGTCAGTACCTGACCAACTGGGCTGTGGTTCGTACATCAGCTTGTGTGCAGCCAGTAGTAACAGCCTGGTTGATCAGACCCTGATCCACTATGAGGCCTGGTCTCAGACTGGGCCGCAGGGGCATTGACCCCCGAAACCCTCTCCAGGTAAATCCAGTATGTATACACAAATGAAGCCAGCTCCACTACACAACCTGTTCTTGTTGGAATCCCACAGGGGAGCATTCTTGGCCCACCTCTCTTTCTCATTTACATCAATGACCTACCAAATGCATCTAATCTCCTTAAACCCATTTTATTTGCAGATGATACAAACTTAGGTGTTTTTGCATCCAAACCAACCATACTAACAGACCGTAAATGCTGTATGCTAAAAATATCTTTTTGGATGATGGCAACAAACTTACTCTCATGTAGACAAAAACATACTTCATGGCTTTTTGGAACAGAGCTTCAAATGTACAGCTAAACATATTGATAAATGGTTCACTTATTTTGAGACAGGCAGAGGGCAAATTTATAGGTCTCCACCTTGACTACAGTCTCAAATTTCAGACACACACACAGCAAATTTCCAAGAAAGTCTCCAAAACAGTAGGCATCCTTTCAAAGGTACAGTACTATGTACCTCAGTCAGCTCTTCTAGCTTTGTACCACTCTCTCATTTACCCTTACCTCACCTATGGTATTTGTGCATGGGGCTCAACCACAGCAAATCACCTTAAGCCTTTAATAATCCAGCAAAAAGCTGCAGTGTAATTGATTACTACTACTGCATTAGGCAACACATTCCACCTCATTTCAAGAATTTTAACTTGCTAAATATACAACATCCACACTTACTATTGTGCCTACTACATACACAGAACACTATACTCTTTGTAAACCCTCCTCTCAAACTCCTCCTTGATAACTATAGCAGAACACACAACCATAATATGAGAAACAGATCACTCTTCGATATCCCTCGCGTTCATCTCTCCCTATGAAAAAATGTTATGCACAAAAAAGGCCCGAAAATATGGAATTCATTGCCAGAACAAACTAAAGGGCCTCTGTCTGCAAATCATTTTAAGGCCCTTATAAGAAATCACCTCATCACCCAAAAGTAACCAGCAAATCTGTACCTAAACTACCCAGTTTCAGTGGTGCTCATATTGTGATGATCAATGCATCAAACAACTTAATACTTCCAAAATTAGGTGTCTATTTTTTTCATTGTTTTCCTTTTATTTTCAATAGTAGATTGTAATACAGTACATCATAATGTAAATTGTTCCAGTTTTGAGACTCTCTGACCGCGAGTTCAAAGCCCGCCCGTGGTATGGTTTGTTTGCGATCGTGTCGTTACGATTTCGTGAGTCGAGTCCATTGTAATACCAAATTTCATTGTTTTAAATAATACTAAACTGTAGTTTATCATTGTAAATTGTTTTAAACTGTTATATTGTAATACTGCAATCTTTATTAACTAATTCAGTAGTGTATTAAGTCTCTACTAGACTTATCAAAACCATGTAGCATTACCTGATACAATATATACTTCTACTGTACTCACTGTAACTCATCTAATGACCATATGAAGTATGTATTATTACATTACTAATCTTAAGTTAATCTTTAAGTTTGCCTGAAATGCTCTGCATACAAAGGGGCTTTAGGCATGTATACCTAACTATTATATTACTCTGTACAAACATGTAATTTGTCAAAATAAACATCTTTATCTTTGCCTTTATACATTGAAATAGTATAGTATAAACAATTCTATTTTCGTTTATACACCAAAAATTTAATTATATAAACATTTTTTAATCTGGGTGGATGGAAAAGCATGACTTCTCCTAGTGGGCTTCTAATTTCTGTTGGAAATGAGGAGTTTAGTTCATTTGAGGAATCTGAATGTGATAGCAATAGCTCTTTGCCTTATTTTATACATCACACTGTTATAAATAAATTCTTCCTGTAAAACAGAAAGACTCTCAGCAAGATGGTTTATTGGATACCTCATGTCTGATGGAGAATGCACCTGTATTTTTGGTATATGTTTAGACATTACCAAGATATGTGATCAGCACTCTCACATTACTACATAAACTTTCCCACATCACATACCTCTCTGGAGACAGTTTTGGTGGCATAGGTCTACAGCGGAGAGTACAGACAACTCTATGGCTGGTTGCAGGTAAGATTTATATTCTTCTTTATTAACCACACGCCATTGTTACCAGGCTGGCATGTTTGTCATCGTCCCTCCCTCCCCCATACCCTCAAACCAGACACAATCCCCTACCCCCTCCCCACCTCAAGCCCCCCGCCCCACCCCTCACCCCCCGCCCCTCCCCCCTCCCCTCCCCCTTCCCCCCTCACCTCCCCCCTCCCCTCCCCCCTACCCCTCCCCTACTCCCCCCTCCCCTCCCCTCCTCTCCCCTCCCCCCTCCCCTCTCCCCTCCCCCCTCCCCTCCCCCCTCCCCTCCCCCCTCCCACCCCCCTTTCCCATCCCTCCCCCTACCCTACCCTCCCCTCCCCCTCCACCCTCACCCCCCCTCCCCTCCCCCCTCCCCCTCCCCTCCCCCCTCCCCTCCCCCCTCCCCTCCCCCCACCCCTCCTCCCTCCCCTCCCCCACCCATCCTCTCCCTCCCCCTCCCCTCCCCCTCCCTCCCCCTCCCTCCCCCCTCCCCTCCTCCCCCCTCCCCTCTCTCCCTCTCCCCCCTCCCCTCCTCTTCCCTCCCCTCCTCTCCCTCACTCCTCCCCTCACCTCCCTCCTCCCCTCACCTCCCTCCCTCCCTCCACAGCAGGTTGACCCATAAAGAAAGAAATATCCTCCCTCACCCCCACCCACAAAAAAAATTTTTCATCATTCAATCACTTTCACTCACTGTACCATTAATACACTGTCTTTGCAGCGGTGACCTGAAACAACAGTTTAGGAACGATTTATATATGATATATTTCATTTTATTATTTTTTATCACACTGCCGACCAGATTCCCTCCAATGCAGGGTGGCCCGAAAAAGAAAAAAACTTTACCATCATGCACTCCATCACTGTCTTGCCAGAAGGGTGCTATCCCACTACGTTTTAAACTGCAACATTAACATCCCTCTTAGAGGGCAGGCACGGTACCTTCCATCTCCAGGTCTCATGTCCGGCCTGCCGGTTTCCCTGAAACCCCCTTGAGAAATGTTACTTTGCTCACACTCCAAACAGCACGTCAAGTATTTAAAAAACAAATTTTGTCTCCATTCACGCCTATCAAACATGCTCACGCATGCCTTGCTGAAGTCAAGCCCCTCGCACACAAAACTCCTTTACCCCCTCCCTCCAACCTTTCCTAGGCCGACCCCTACCCCGCCTTCCTTCACTACAGACTGCAACACTCTTGAAGTCATTTCTGTTTCGCTCCATTCTCTCTACATGTCGAACCACTCAACAACCCTTTCCTCAGCCTCTGGACAAAAGTTTTGGTAATCCCGCGTACTCCTCCTAACTTCCAACTACGAATTTCTCTGCATTATATTCACACCACACATTGCCCTCAGACATGACATCTCCACTGCCTCAGGCCTTATCCTCGCTGAAACAGTCATCACCATGCTTCACACCTTATAAGGAGCGTTGGTAAAACTATACTCTCATTACATTCCCCTCTTGCCTCCCAAGACCTTTGTTTTTGTCTCCCAGACTCCTAAGTGCACCACTCACCTCTTGTTCCCTCATGAATCCATGATTAACCACATCTTTCATAGGACCCATCTGCTGACACGTCCACTCCCAAATATCTGATTCGTTCACCCTCCTCCAGACTCTCTCCTCCAATTTGTTTTTCAATCTTTCATCACCTAATCTTTTTGTTATCCTCATATCCTTATCTCTTTCCTGTATTCACCTTTATTTTCTTCTTTTGCTCACCTACAATTCATCCACCAATCTCTGCAACTTCTCCTTCAGTTTCTCCCAAGAGACCCACACAGTCGTTATCTTGCAAAGAGCAATGGCTGTGAAACTCCCACTTTGGGTTGTGATTCTTTATCTTTTAGCTCCCGCCTTGGCCAAGACCCTAGCATTTACTCTCTTTACATACCCCATCTATAAATATATTAAAAATAAAAAACAACCACGGGTGACATCACACATCCTTGTCTAAGGCTACTTTTACTGGAAAAAATTTCCCTCTTTCCTCATACTCTAACTTGAGCCTTCACTTTCCTCATAAACTCTTCCATGCTTTCAGTAACCTACCTCTCACCATACACTTGCAACATCTGCCACATTGCCCCCCTATCCACAGGTCATACGACTTTTCCATATTCTTAAATTGCCACAAAGACCTCTTTAGCCTATCTATATACTGTTCACTTATATGTTTCACTGTAAAACACCTGTCACACACCCCTCCTTCCTAAGCCTCCTGTTAATCTGCTATCCTATTTTTCCATCTTACTCTTAATTCTTTCATTATAAACTCTACCATACACTTTAACCAGGCTATACTCAACGACTTATCCCCTATATTTTTGCACTCTCTTTTATCCCCTTGCCTTTATACAAAGGAAAAACTATGGCATGCTCTTGCCATTCCTAGGGTACTTTCCATCTTCCTTACATTTATTAAATAATTGCACCAACCACTCCAAAACTATGTCCCCACTTGCTTTTAAACATTTCTATCTTTATCCCTTCATTCCCAGCTGCCTACCCATTCATTTTACCTGCTGCCTCACGAACTTCCCCCCACTCACATACTGGCTCTTCCTCAATCCTAAAAGATTGTTATTCTCATTGCCTATACACGAATTCACAGCTTCCCTATCTTCATCAAACATTTAACCTATTCCTCAAAATATGCCCTCCATATTCCCAATACCTCTAATTCCTCTTTTTTTAACTGACAAATCCATTTGTTCTCAGGCTTTCTTAACTTTTAATTCACTCCAATAACTTTTTCTTATTTTCACAAAATTGTTGATACATCTCACCCACTCTCTCATTTGCTTCTCTTTTTTACATTGCGTCACCACTTTCTTAACCTCTCTCTTTTTCTCCATATACTCTTCCCTCCTTGCATTTCACTTCTACTTTGTAAAAACTTATCATATGCTTAATCTTTTTCTCCTTACTACTCTCTTTACTCTCATTCCACCAAATCGCTCCTCTTCCCTCCTGCACCCACGTTCCTGTAAACACAAACTTCTGCTGAACACTCTAACACTACATTTTTAAACCTAACCATACTCTTCGACCCATTGCCTATGCTCTCATTAGCCAATCTATCCTCCAATAGCTGTTTATATCTTACCTAACTGCCTCCTCTTTTAGTATTATAAACCTTCCCTCCTCTCTTCCCTGATGGCTTCTATTCTCCTTGTTCTATCCCATCTACCTTTTACTCTCAGTGTAGCTACAACTAGGATAAGTGATGATGATATATCTGTGGCCCCTCTATAAACATCGTACATCCTGAAGTCTACTCAACAGTTCTTTTATCTACCTATCATAATCCAACAAAACTACTGTCATTTCGCCTACATCATATCTTGTATACTGATTTACCTCTTTATTCTTTAAAATATGTATTACCTTTAATATAAACCTTTCTATACAAAGTTCAATCAAAGCGGCTCCCATTATCATTTACACCTGGCACCCCTAAAAACTTACCTACCACACCCTCTCTAAAAGTTTCTCCTACTTTTAGCTTTCAGGTCCCCTACCACAATTACTCTTCTCACTTGGTTCAAAGGCTCCTATACTTTCACTTAACATCTCCCAAAATCTCTCTCTCTCTCTGCATTCCTCTTTCTCCAGGTGCATACCACGCTTTATTATGCCCACTTCTCGCATCCACCTTTACTTTACCCTTTGATGTCGCGGCCGTATATATACGTTTGTGAGGGTACCGGTGTTTGCGTATAATATACTCATAAATTCTAGCGGCTTCAAATCTGGCAGGAGATAGTAGTAGGCCCACATGTGAGAGAATGGGTCTGTGTGGTCAGTGTGCACCACATAAAAAAATCTGGAGCCGCAGGGCATAATGAGGAAAAAAAAAAAGAGACTGTTTTTTTTAATAAAATGCGACTTGTGGTCTATTTTCGTTTAGTATTTGTGGTTGTATTCTCGTTTTCATGGGTCTCATTTGATAGAATGGAAACTATATTATAGAAAGGAGGTGATTTTGATTAATTTACTATAAATGAACCTGGAAATGGAGCACAAAGTACAGGAATGTTTGATTTTTGCGATGTTCTAAAGTAAACAGATGATGGTCATTGTCCAATAATATGTCCAAATAGCCATTCTAATACGCAGTCATGAAGTTGATGGAATTTGTACTATTATACAGTATTGCAGAAGTCTGCTAACAGTAAATCTTCTATTTTTTGTTTGAATAAAAATTTCAACAATAAAAAGCAAGAGTATTTATCACAGGGACCTGGAGGACTTGACTGATGAACAAGGAAAATCTTTTTTTAGAGCCAGGGATTGTCTGAATTTTTGCATTCTGGACCTTATTTTGAAATTGTCGATATTTTTTAATTTTCGTGAAATTGGCCAATTTGCAAATTTCTGACCATGTTATTGGGTAGTTAAATCCGGTAAATGGGCAGTTTCTTGTGCTCAATTCGATAGAAAAAATAGAGTTCTGGAAGAAATAGTTATGAGTTTGGTAGATGGAATAACGGAGAATAGCCGATTAATAGTGGCTCAAAGTGGCGAAATTGACGATTTTTAAATATCGCCGAAGTCGCTAACTTCACGAGAGGTAATTCCGTCAGTTTCATCAAAGTTCGTTTTTGTGGTGTCTTTACATTCCAGGAAAAGATTCTCTATCATTTTCTTAAGAAAAAATAATTTTTTTTTTTTCGAATATTTTGCGACACAGGAGCAACTTCCAGGTTTGGGGACCTTCGACAGTCAAACGGTTAATCCCACATTAATTTCTTGCATTTTACACAGTCATATTTCTCTTTTCTCCTTCCATAACTGATCAATTTAACATTACTGCTACCCCTTCCTTTGCTCTAATCTCTCAGATACTCCAGATTTTATACCATTTATTTCCCCACTGAAAACTCTCATACCCCTTCAGCTTTTAGTTTCGCTTAGGGCCAGGACATCCAACTTCTTTTCATTCATAACATCCGCAATCATCTGTTTTATTGTCATCCGCAACTAATCCA